CTTAATTGCTTAATTAGGCTCTTTGTAAGGTGCTAGAGAACATAGATAGAGGGGTGTAGTCTTGGCTAGACCGATTATTTTAATTCTGCATTTGTTTCGGTTAGCTGACGCGATTAAGTTTAAGAAAGGACTATTCACCCCCCCTCTAGTCCGCCATCTCGACCCTACAGTGGGTGTAACAGGTTGTGTCTCATGGCCAACGGGGCTCAGCTTGGTTACACTGTTGTTCCTGTTCATGTCGATTAAGGACCATTCGTTGTTGTGGATGGTAGTTAGGTCACAGACTTATTATCCTGAGCACATACTTGCTTATGGGAGCGGGAAGTCTTGTTACGCTCTTCTCGTGGGTTCTGGCTCTTTTTAGACCGACTGATTGGAGGCGGGGAAAGGTGAAGGTCTGAGCACCATACTGAGACTGGGTCTCAAGTGTGGGGGCTTAGAGTCCAAGTTTGTACGGGGACCTGGACCCCGTGACAGGAGTGGAATGGGTTGGTCTTGTTTATGCCTAGGGTACAAACAGGGCATGTGTTTTGGGGTACCTAGCTGTGATACATTGGTTCATGAATCGCCATTTTTGTGAGATGGTACGACTTGGCTATGGTCTAGCACCGTAGTAAGAACTGGAAGATGAAAGATGGTGAAATGGTTCTGATTGCTTAACCCTTGCTTAAAAGTAGAACAGGTGCTTACCTAGAATGGTTATCTAATGAAGTAATCATGACTGCTAAGAAAACTTGACTGTAAGGATTAACTATTAGTAATACTTTTCGCAAACAAAAAGAAAACAGCAAACCCATATTGCTTATCATACTCCTTGGAGTCAGGAAACTATTCCCATTAGTCGGGTAAGTCTTGCGAGTATATTGTGTACTCAAGGTTTGTTTTACACCTGTTGCAGGTGCAGCTTGAGGAGTAGCTCTTGTGTGGAGAATTCTTCTGGTGGGCACAGATGGATCCTTGTATTGTTTCCTCTAGATGCTTATTTTCATTCCGCTATTTAATTATCGTACTCTGAACTCTAGCATTGTAATAAATAATTTCTAAGAACGCTTGTTGTATGAAATGGACTAAGTATTGTAATCTCGTACTCATTACTGGATTCTGGATGTAAAACGTGGATTGTTTCGAGTTCTCCCTTGGGGTGGGCTCGATGGAACTATCCGATGTAGCTAACTTTCGGGGTGCTTAGTGTCTAGAGCAAGACGAGCGCCTCCAAAAGCATATTATTTCAGGCGGTTCTGCCACATTATGCAGATCCCAAGAGTTTTCGGGTCAGGTTAACATACCTTGGAGTGCCCCACAATAGTCGAGTGGAGGTTAGCCTAGTTGTGGATGCAATCGACATCTAGTTGCTTGAGCCATGCCCTCGCTGAGCTTGACAGGAGCAGTGGGAGGTATTGGATTGTGAAGTCTTCTTTCGCCCCTCTGGTCCTTATCGCGAGCAGGTAGTAGTCAAGCCAGTGGTTGGGATCAGTCTCAATGTCGTAGTTGTCGTTGTGGGTCAGCCGTCAGAAGCGCTTGGGGTAGTGTGCCACCCGTATCCTGGATCCAACTGCTAGGGGACCAAAGTGGTCTTGGCTCTGGCTTCCTTCTCGTTGATCGGGGTGTGCGTTCGGCGACTTGGCTCAAGCATGCCGCCTTGCCTTTATGGTGTCCAACACGCCCCTATCCTCTCTAATTCAGTCATGCATGGGCGAGCGGTGTGGGTCAGGCTCGACTTTATGCTCACATCGGGGCTTAGCTCCCCTTGCTCTTGGCCGATCAAAGTCATTGGTGGAGTTGGCACAATTGTTGCCATCGTGGGCAAGGGGGTCAGAGCATTGCCCCTCCAACGACGACTCTTGTTGTGAAGGCCTCGAGGTGGCGTTGCACCGACGAGACGACGAGCACTCCGCATGCTGTTCGAGGGTGATGCCAAGGAAGAGTTGGGCCTTCTGAATCTTCTCGTTGTTCTTTGGATCTGGCATGTCGGGGATGTCACCAAGTTTGTAGGCGAAGGTTGCCACGTTGTACGCTGCTTGAGGGAAATGTTGTGCGTTGGGAGCCCCTGCGTCGTTGTCAACTTCACGCTGGATGGTGTGCATGTGGGTACATGCACTGCTCACCCACCGGCGCTCCATCTCTTCCTTCTTCAGCTCTAGTTCGATGCGCTCGGCCTCGAGGTGAGCCTACTAGGCCTTGAGGCGCTCAGCTTTCTCCTAGAGGTAGGTGGCCTATAGAGTCGGAGTTAGGTTCATGGGCGTGACTTCAGGCTCGTTGGTGGAATGATGCTCCCCGTGGAGGTAGAGGCACTCGCGCCCCAGGAAGTATCCATCTGTATCATCGGAGTCGTACTCCTGGTCAGCCCCCGATAGTATCTCGAATAAGTTGCGCAGCTAGGGGATGCCAATACTGCCATTTGCAAAGACACCACCGTAGGGGACCTCTCGACTCATGAGCTGCTCCAGTTCGAGTTAAAACATTGTTGCGGTGTTCTGGATCCCATATAGGAGATCCGGGTGGGTACACTAGAAATTGGGGGCTGGCAGTAGCCCCTCGCTGGTGGTGATATGATGGTGAACGCAGGATAGGGTGTAGAACATCTGGCAATGCTCCACCACGGTGGGGTTTGGGCCAGACCGAGACGGATCTAGTGGGACAGCACCTCCAGGTCGACGTGCAGGAGGCCTGTTGGAGGGAACAACATCGGGGACTCGTCGTCCTTCAATGGGTCTCCCTTGAAGAGACGGAGCTCGCCACTACGATCAACAACATAGTCCTGGCTCCTGAAGCTGGGAGCCTGGCCGAGGGTGAAGGCACTGCCGGCGGAGATGATCTTGTCGGAGTAATGCACCTCACCCTCAGGGCCAGCTTAACGAGTCAGATCCAGAGAGAGAGAGAGAGAGAGAGAGAGAGAGATGATCTCGTTTGAGACCCGAGCCTAACGAGCCGAGCCAAAGTTGAAAGTCACCCAAAATCAACTCTTTTTTATTTTAAAGTAAAAAAACAATTAGAGGTTTTTGACATGAGCCACCGAGTCAGCTCAACGAGCTTTTTGCCCATTGGAGCTGCCCTTATTGCTTCTTCATGCCCTTATGACTCAACCATTGTCACGCTTAGCGGCGGCCGGATCGTTGCTTACTCTTCTTCTCCGTCTGATTTATTTGTCACATGACATATTTGTTTACTTGTTATTTCTGTAGTTTCTTTTTGATTGCCTTATTATGACTTTCTAGGCTGTTGTGTTTTCTTATGCTATATCAATAGAAACACACACAGGTTATTATTCTTTAAGAAAATGTTCTACTACATAGAGGTTGGCTTGGTGCCATTTTATTATATCAAAAAATATTACCACAAAATTCAAAGTCAAAACTTTGAGCAGGGCATAAATTCCTTTGTGTTGTTGGCTTTTTTATGTTGCAGTTCTGTTTCAGTTTGGAATGCTTGTGTACACCAGGTCCACGGCAGGGCACCACGAATTCTAAGGCTGGCAAACAAAGGAAGTAGCAAAGGCTAATACAAAAGGCAATAGAATGATTACTTGTTGAGCTGGCCCTACTTTATTATGTCTTTCTTTGCTGTTGTTGCTCCCATATAGATTTCCCCCCAAACAATATTCTTTAAAGATCAAGTTTCATTTGTAAGAAGATATATAGAAGTGTACTCTGATTATTTCTTTTTTGAGAATTAGTGTACTCTGATTATACACACACGATTTGTTTAAGCACACACAGGCAGGAATGGATATCCACGTCAATGTATTCACTACACATAAAAATGATGAAATATGGAGGGCTACTGGAGAGCACAAAGATTCTCCGGTATAATACAAGAAAAAAGAGAGTTGATGCGTGCTAACAATTTTTCCTAGTGTATTTTGACTTGGAGAGTGGCGGCTACAGTATCTGCAGTGAAGTGCAGTGTCATTGGGGATTGAATGATAAAGAGCACCGCACGTGGAGTCTGAGCCTCTGACTGCCTCTTCACAGTTTAAAGATTTTTCCTTTTGCCCAAAAAAAAAGAATAAAAGAGAAGATCGAAAAAAAAAGAAACACATTTCAAACAGAAAAAGGACCGGAGAGAAAAAAATAGGGGACTGAGGGGTGCTCTCAAAAGCAGCCAATCCACAAAGGAAGCAATGCTTTCCATTTGCCTGAGTTAGTTCAGCGGCTTCGTGAGAGAGAAAGAGAGAGAATAGTGGCGTGGCATTCTTTTGCTGGTTAAATGGGGGATTCGTCTGTTAGCATCAGGAGAACATACCACGTTACGTTCCTGCCACAGTACTAATAATTCCCCCTCCCCGCTCCCCGGCTAGCTTAGCTGTTCCTCTCTCCTCCGCCTTGCTTATCCTCCTCACACTCACTGACTCACCGGTCTCTCCGTCCATGTACACTCATGTAGCAGCAGACTACTAGCGCGGTCTCTTTCCCTCTCTTTCTCCAGCTTCTCTCTCTCCACGCTCTCTCCGAGCACCAAGGATTCCATTTAATCCGTCCATCTCACTCCTCAAGCCCTACAAAGTACACCGCCATCCTCTTCCAGCCGCCAGCTCCCCTTCTCCCCCCTGGCCTTCTCCTAGCTAGGGTCATCTGCTCCTGCTTCCTCTCTCTCTCTCCCCCTGAAATCACAGATGAACCACACCAAAAGGCCATAAAATAGTGTGTGTGATCTCCCACACGCACTCACAAACACAAGCTCGCTACCCCGCCTTCCATCCATCAACCATCTTCTCTCTCATCATATCATATGAGCAAGGATTCTTTCCAACCTACAATCTTCTTTCCCTGATAGCTAGCCAGCTCTTTCTTTCTTGGACTCTCTCTCTCTACCACCACACCTAACCTTCTCGGAGCTAGACCCACGCACAGCAAGAGAGAAGAGGCTGGAGACATCAAATCCGTTCCTCCACTCTCTTCCAAACAGCTAAACCACCCCATTTACTCGGCCGGCTAGAAAACATACACGCCAAGATACATATACTTGTATCGCTGTGTATATATACCATGGCTTAATTGACCATGGACGTCGCCGGTGACGGCGGAGGCGGCCGCCGCCCCAACTTCCCTCTGCAGCTCCTTGAGAAGAAAGAGGAGCAGCCGTGCTCCAGCTCGGCTGCGGTGGGCACGTCGGCGGGAGGCAACGGGAATGGATCGGGGGCCGGAGGTGAGGTGCAGGTGCGGAAGGCGGCGCCCAAGCGGAGCTCCACCAAGGACCGGCACACCAAGGTGGAAGGCAGGGGCCGTCGCATCCGGATGCCAGCGCTGTGTGCGGCCCGGGTGTTCCAGCTGACGCGAGAGCTCGGGCACAAGACGGACGGCGAGACCATCGAGTGGCTGCTACAGCAGGCCGAGCCTGCGGTGATCGCGGCCACCGGGACCGGCACCATCCCGGCCAACTTCACCTCCCTCAACATCTCCCTCCGCTCCTCGGGCTCCTCGTTCTCCGCGCCGGCCCACCTCCGCGCCGCCTTGCCTAGCCCCGCCGCCGCCGCCCGGTTCGGCCGTGCTGACGCGTGGGACCGGGTTGTCGGCCTTGGCTTCCATTCGGAGGGCCCGGCCTCGTCGTCGTCGTTGCCGTCCCCCTTGTTGCTTAACTTCCACTCCGGCAGCGTCGGTCTTGACGTGCAGCCGTCGCCGTCTGCCGCCGCCGCAGCAGCCGCCGATATGTCGAGGAAGAGGCGGTGGGAACAAGAAATGCAGCAGCAGCAGCAGCAGCAGCAGCAACAGCAGCAGCAAGCACAGCAATATCAGCAGCAGATGGCGGGGTACACGCAGAGCCAAATGCCGGGCACCGTGTGGATGGTGCCGAGCAACAACACGCAGGGCGGTGGTGCACCTTCCAGCGGTGGCAGTGGCGGCAGCGGCGGAGGCAGTGGCGAGTCCATCTGGACGTTCCCGCAGATGGGCAGCGCCGCCGCCGCGGCTGCCGTGTACCGGGGCAGCGTGCCGAGCGGGCTACATTTCATGAACTTCCCTGCACCGGTGGCGCTGCTTCCAGGGCAGCAACTGGGGCTCGGCCCCGTGGGAGGCAGCGGCGGCGGAGGCGGAGGCGAGGGACACATGGGGATCCTCGCCGCCCTCAATGCGTACCGGACACAGGCGGCAACGGATCCCGCGGCCAGCCAGGGCGGAGGAGGAGGTGGAGGAGGCGGGTCTGGCCAGCAGCAGCAGCAGCAGCAGCAGCAGCACGGTGGCGGCCGCGGCGACCGGCATGAGAGCATGAGCACCAGCGACTCGTAGCCGACGGAGGGTCTCCGAGGATCGCATGCATCGCTCTGGTGTGGCTTTGATCTGTTCTTTGTCTTGGTTTCATTTTTTTTCCTTTCCTTTTTGTGGTTTCCTTCCTTCCTCTCTCATCCTAGCTAGACACCCCTGCGAGGATTACACGCACTTAGCTGCACTCCATGGCATGCGGTAGGATCATCAGCCATCCTTACGTGAGCTGTGTGCTTGTGGCCTGTGAGTGAGCGAGCGAGGTGTGTCTCTCTCATGGGAGGAGGGAAACGCTGCAGCAGGGAAATTGTTCATTTTGTTCTTTAGTTTTAGGGTTTGCATTGATCCAGTGCGAGCAGAAGAGATTTTTATCAAGTCGCATCATTCATCTGCCGTGACGTACGGTTCAAAATTTTTCATCCAAGCAACATTATTCAAGTAGTTCGTTCAGAGCAGCCACTCTAACTCTTCCACATTTTGCAGACTACTTGAGGAGTTCGTTAATTGCTTGATAATATAATATAATAATAATATATATCCTACTACATACTATTTTTCACTAGTAACAAATGTTGGAGCGTAGTTTCATCAGCAACTACCGCTAGGGTTCGGCGACCGGTTCCTTTCGTTTTCTGCTACATATGTGTGCCATCTTAAATTAGTCTGGTCATCGTGGAATAGAAATGTGCACAGAGGTTGGTTGGGGGCGTACAAACATGTCTCAAAACTAGTCATTAGCCAGGCAGACGGCGATGGCCGATCCATTATATTCCTTGGGAAATGAGTTGTCGTAGGCGACGAGCTGAGCTAGCGCGGCTGCCAGTCCAGTCCAGTCCAGCTGCGCGGGCGTAGGTTTTTGTCATCTGATGAGCCAACAATCTGCCGGGGCGCCAAGCTAGCAACCAACCGTCGCCGATCGATCGAGGACCACAACACTACAACCAACAGGGGGCGCGCGGGCGAGAGAAACAACTGGGCGAGACGCCGAGACTGCGAACCACAACGGAAGAGACATCGATCGCGCGGATCGGAGACCGACGCGCGCTCTGGCGCGGACTTGAGTCCACCAACAGCGCCGACGACGACGAGAGGCGACTCCCGCGCGCGCACGGTAGAATTTTTTAATTGGTATATATTAAAGTTTGGAGCCGTGTCCGTCAATGATTTCACACACGCGCGCGGTCTCCCCCTCCGGGCTCCGGCGCCCGGGCAGGGGCAGGCGGGCAGCCAGCTCGCACCAACCGCGCCATGCCAGATGCCCACAAGGCGCAAAGGCGCGGAGCGGAGCCTCGTGCCGCTACAGCCACAGGCACAGGCCCCGGCCCGCACGGCTACAGCGGCAGCGAGCACAACGCAGCGGGAAGAGCAGGCGGGGGCATTGATGTGCCCGGCCTTGTTGCCGGCCGGCCGCCTCTCCCACGCACTGCATCTGCATGCCCTCTCTCGGCGCTCCGGGCGGCGTGGATGCGTCGTCGTCATCGATCTCGACCCGACCCCCTGGCCTGCGCGCTTTGCATGCTCACGTACGCACGCTGCTGTGTCATCAATCAGGCCAGGCCAGATCGACCACGAGCGACGACCTGGTAGCGGCCAGTGGCACCGGTTCGCTGGTTGGTTTCAGCCAGTCCAAACCAGTTAGCTAACAGTGTTTTTCTCTCACAAAAAACCAGCACCAGCCAACCTAAACCAGCACCAGCACCAATCAGCGAACAGACTAGCAAGCGAGCAGGAAGCTAGGCAGGTGCCGCGCGTGTACGTACATGGTCCTGCGCTGCGCTCCAGGGTTGCGTCTTGGTCGACGTGGTTCTTTCAGTCACATGTGCTTGCCTTTCCAGTTTTCCATATCGATGTGTGGCGCTTTGTTTCCTAGCTGCTGGGGGGCAGGCCAGGGGGCTACGTAGCTGGTTGGTGGTTGGCACTATATGCCACTATGGCCTATGGATGGATGGGCGTGAGTGACTGCCGCTGCCCTGCCTGCTTGCCAGCCAGCCAGCCAGAGCGCGTCGTCGTGATGAGCGTGCTTGTGTGATCTGAAATTCTGAATTATCATGGAGGGATTGCCCGGAATTGGATGGCCGCAGCTTGGTGCCTGGTGCGTGCTCCCACAGTCCCAGTGGCGCCCCGCCGACGACCGCCGTTCCGAATCCCCGGCCGTGTGTAGTGTAGGCGTAGCTGCTAGTATATGGCTAGCTAGACATGCACCTTGTGCATCATGCGCGCGCAGGGCAGGGAAGGGCATGACGGCATGTAGCTAGCTCCGCGGCTCGGCGCGATCGATGCTCTCTCTGTGCATGCGCTCGATCGGTCGCTGACAGATGAGCTGTAGCTGCATATGAGCTTGTCGCGCGCGGTGATCTCTGCAGCTGGAGCTGGGAGCAGCCTCTGAGCCACTGATTAGACCGTCGTGTGTTACGTACTGCAAATTTAAGTGTGGGGACGTACTACTAGCTAAGCTAGCTTAATTACGTACATGCTACTAGCTGCACGTAAGTGTGCCTGCTGCCTGCCGAATGTTTATGTAAGCATGCAGCAGTAGTAGTATATATATGTTAACCTGTTCAGGTGTCAGTGATGTGAAGCAAGGTTAGCTGTAGCTCCGTATGACGCTGTCGAGCTCTTGCTTATACGGCTTAGCTTGCTTGCTTTTGAATAACCGATCTCGAGTTCTAGCTACTAATAAGCATCTGCTGCTGAGTGCGTGGACACACGTGAGTGGGCTACGTTAATGTTCTGGGCACACGTGTCAGTGACGGGTGCGCGGCATGATAAGGTTGCGAGGCAGACTGCGGTCAGCACAGTTATATGCCGAGTCCAGTAGAGGAGAAGAGAGGGAGGAGGATGAGGCCAACACCGTGCTGGAGGCGCTGTCGGTTGTTCTCTGTGCCTTATTGGAGCCGTCACATGTTGTGCTGATTGGGTGCATTGAGTAGCGCGCGGCGGCGGCGGCTCCTCCTCCGACCCTAAACACATGTGCCCTTGTCCTGTTTAATTTGGACGTTGCATACTGAGAGGGCTCTGGCCGAGATATCGACCGGACTACACGCAAACGTACATGCGTCAACACAGGCTTAGCAGTAGCACCAGTACTATTGTTGTTTTCCTATATTACATATATACCCGTGTCTACTCCTAGCTCCTTTACAACATACAGTACGTACTAGCTAGTTTAGTGTCCACCAAAAACGTGTGCATGCATGCGTGAACGAACACAGGCTTATATTGAGAGAGAGAGAGAGAGAGAGAGAGAGAGCGCTTGGTTCTCAGCGGGTAGGGAAACATATGTTTTTGGTGGACGCAACGAAATATGCAAAGCAAATGCAAGTCATTTCAAGCTCCTTCCCGTGTGCGCCTATAAGTAGTTGTCTCCGGACGGTCTGGTCCGGCTTTATCACTCTGTTGCCCACTTCAAAAGCCAAGGTAAAACAAGGAGATGAAGGGGAAACAGCAGAGAAAACAAATGGTGGATAGATGCACAGATTAATATCCTCTATATGACTGTTCATGAAGGGCACCACCGATGAGGCTAACACTTCTAGTGGTTCTGGTACAAATAAAGTGATCCACATAGATTAGAAAATATTGAGACTACTATTTACACAATGCAAATTATCACTACTTGTGACTTGCAAAGAAACTTTTTCCTTTCATCGTACCTCACATTTATTTTCTCTCCCTTTTCTTTTTTAACATGGATCATCTTCTCTCTCCCAAACATATGTAGCTTTTACAAGCCAATATAACGAGTATAGAGCACCTGTTTTTTTTATCCGATCCTACATGACACTTGGGGCTACCAGTGAAAAGTAGCATTGGGGAAGCCCTAGCTATGGGCATGCGAAAGCATTTTGTGGTGAATGCACCGTACTACCTCTAGTGGAACCTGCGTGCTTACCTCATTGCCTCGTCATTTTTGCTGCAATATCATTATACATAGCATACATGCATGTATTTCAGTGACTAGATGTGTAGTATCAGCCCTTGTTTAGTTCCACCGTCAAAACTTTACACCTTATCATATTAAATGTTTGACACATATATAAAGTATTAGATATAGATTAAAAATAACTAATTACATAGATTACAACTACTTTGTTAGACGAATTTTTTAAGCCTGACTATTTCATAATTTAACAATAAAGTGCTACAGTAACGTCCACGTAATGCCCCAAATTTTACGGCCTGTATCTAAACACCACCTTTTTAGTACATATACCCACTGATGAGGGCTAAGCTTTTGAAACGAGCTCTCATTTTGACTTCGCTTTTGTCAGGGCTGCGCTCATTTTTCTTTTCGAAAGGTGCAACTGTATGCGTGCTTGTCGAGGTGACAGCAAAATTACAAGCAATTCATAGGGATCATGATCAACGTAAAGTAGCAGCAACTAAGGGCGTGTTTAGTTCTCAAAATTTTTTGGGTTTGGCTACTGTTTGGCTACTATAGCACTTTCGTTTGTATTTGGTAATTAGTGTTTAATTATGGACTAATTAGGTTCAAAAGTTTCATCTCGCGATTTCTCACCCAACTGTGCAATTAGTTTTTTTTTTCGTCTACATTTAGTACTCCATACATATGCCGCAAGATTCGATGTGACACTTTGGGGTGAAAATTTTTGGAATCTAGACCGCGCCTAAGGCCTTGTTTAGATGCCAAAAAAATTGGCAAAATGCTATTGTAGTGGTTTTCGTTGTTATTTGGTAATTAGTGTCCAATTATAGTCTAATTAGGCTTAAAAGATTTGTCTCGTGGATTTCGTCTAAACTGTGTAATTAGTTTTATTTTTTATTTATATTTAATGCTTCATGCATGCGTCAAAAATTCGATGTGACGGGAAATTGAAAATTTTGGCAAAATTTTGAAAACTAAACTGGCCCTAACTCATCGCATTGCATCGGTTTCTTCACTAGCTAGGAGTAGTCGCTACACGGACCCTTCTTTGCCACTGTACCACTCACATTCTTGCATAATTTCTTCGCAGGAGGGAATCTGCTGCTGCTTGCAATGCAACGGGGAGGACTCGATATAGCTA